AAATCAACGTGAGATCTCTCAATCCACCCCTCCTGGACCCAACATCTTTGTTGGCACTCGTTTCGCTCTCTAATTGGAGATCTCACAATCCACCCCTCTTCGAGACTTAGCATCCTCACTAGCACACAGTCTGGTGTTTGGTTCTAATACCATTTATAACAGCCAATCTCACCACTAATAGATATTGTCCTTTTGACTTGTTATGTATCACTGTCAACCTCGTGTTTTTAAAACGTGTATGCTAGGGAGATGTTTCCACATCCTTATAAAGAATGTTTCGTTCACCTGACTTTACCTTTCTGTAATGTAACCGTCTTGTTCTCTTGAGAGGGGAGGACTTTACCCTTCCGTAATAGAAATGTTGTTCTCCTCTCAGGTTACTTTGAGGATTGCAAGGAAGTAAATCCAGTACGAACTAACATACATACAACAAGTACAATAGTAACATACAGACAGGCAGGAAGGAAATCCGGTAGGAACTAACATACAGAGAGCAAGTACAGTAGTAACTTATGGGCCCCGTGTCTACTTTGACCCATTATGTATAATTTTTTTCACGATTTTAACACACGTCCACTAAGTAGAGGTTGCCACATACTTATAAACAATGTTTCGTTTCGCTCTCTAACTAACGTGAGATTTTACGTTAGAGAAGGAAAATTGTGAATGTTTGATTAATCCATCACACCTAAATGGTGTGAAAGTTATCTTATTTATAATCAAATAAATTACAAGGATATGAAAATAGTAATAAATGGAAATAACAATAAATGGAAAGATACCTATGATAATAAGGCAAATATTAGATATTTGACTTATAATAAAATATCAAATATAATATATATGGTAAACTATAATTTATTACTAAATATCCTTAACACCCCACCGCAAGCTAAGCGTCGGATTTAAACGAACGTGAAGCTTGAATCTGAAAAATTTAAAGAGGTTGAGAAACACTTTTCATGAAGATGCTAACAACCCGGTTCTTGGCCATCAAAAATTGCAGAGGGATTGCCGCTCAGCGGCGATGCTGCCTTGGCTTCGGCGAGAATATGTCTAACCCATGAAGAGGGATTGTCGCTTAGCGACGATGCTGCCTTGGCTCTGGTGAGAATATTTCTAACCCCAAGAAGTAGAAGGGGAAACCTAGAGCAAGAGACAAAGACAATGTTGAAGCCGGAAGAGTCGCCACATTGGGCGAAGGAGCCAATTTTGGCGAGAAGGGCAGTCGGAAGAGTCGCCTCATCGGGCGAAGAAGCCAATTTTGGCAGGAAGGGCGGCGGCAACTTGGTTAGCGAATAGGCCAGTGCGGCACCCAGATTCCGAAGGTAAATCTTTGCAAAAGGTTGATAAGTTTAGGTTAGGGTTTATGTGAAGGATGAAGGTTGATTGGGAAGAAAATGAGAGAGACTATATTGGCCAAGGGGAAAACCGATTGGGTTGGAAAAGGTGAGGTTGTATGTACAGAGTATGACGAAAGGTGATTTGGAGGTCAATAGGGTGGAGCCGAAGAGTAATCAATCGGCTTCGACTACGGCAGCCATGAAGACTGCCCCTGCGGCGTCAAAACCAGCAAGGGTGGTGGAGAAGAAGATTAGAGGATTCAAAAGTCATTGAAAAGAAAGGATCGGGGTTGTTAAACCGAGAGGGCTTTGATACCATGTGAGTGTTTGATTAATCCACCACACCTAATTGGTGTGAAAATTATCTTATTTATAATCAAATAAATTACAAGGATATGGAAAAATTATCTTATTTATAATCAAATAAATTACAAGGATATGGAAATAGTAATAAATGGAAATAACAATAAATGGAAAGATACCTATAATAATAAAACAAATATTAGATATTTGTCTTATAATAAAATATCAAATATAATATATATGGTAAACTATAATTTATTACTAAATATCCTTAATAAAAATATAATCCCCATTAAGCTAACTATGAATAATCTCTGCCCACATGCTCTTTGAGTTCCATCTGAAAAATGGCTCAAACCGACATGTTTGGCCCAAAGTAGTTGGGTTGATGTCGAAAGTTTCAAACGACAGAACAGATTTGTTTTGTTCTAGAAAGAGGAAAGTGGACGACGTGTCGTTTTGACGAAGTCAAGGCCCATGGAGGTTTATAGAAGCAATCGTGGGCCGTTAGTTGGCAAGATTGACTGCCTTAATCTGGTTATTAACTGACATGTCTGAATTTGGTTTTAGCGAGTCAAAAGCGTTGACTGCTTTTGCCAAGTTGGAAGCTCCACCAGTTGAGATTTGAGAACGTGGCAGCACGTGAGTCCCCCTGCCAACCTCCATGTTCCTGGGTTCAGTGCCACGTGGGTGTGGTGCAAAATTTATCTTTAAAATTTTGGTATTATCCAATAACCTGATCCATGAAAAAAGGGGGAAAAACTGTATATTTGTTAGTACCCATGAAATAGGGGAAAAAGTTCCATTTAAATTACTCTAAATAAATAAATAAATAAAATTTCATGTATTTTTACCGACTCCCCACGTGGCATTTACCAAATTATTTTATTTTCCCGTAAAATTCGCTTTTATTTCTGCCACGTTTCAAACTTTATAATTTAATTATCTCAAATCATTATGAAATTATTTATTTTTTCCCCACAAAAGTAAATCAAATAATAATATGAAAGCGTGTGTTTAATTAAGAGACTGAATTCTCGTCTCCAACCAAGGTGAGATTTCATAATCCACCTGTGGACCAAGGGAGAGGTTTTCACACCGTTATAACAATTCCACCATTAACCCAACGTCCTCACCAACACACCACACACCACTAACAAATATTGTCCACTTTGGCCCATTACGTATGGTTGTCAGTGTCACAGTTGTAAAAAGTGTCTAACAGTGATAAGTTTTCATATCCTTATAAAAAATTCTCAGTTTATCTTTCCAACCGATGTGAGATTTAACAATCTATCTCGTTAGGCATCCAACGTCTTTACTGGTCCACTCGTTGTCTGACTCCGATACCATTTGTAACTGTTCAAGCCCACAGCTAACAAATATTGTTTGTTTTGGCCGGTTACTTATTGTTATCAGCCTCAGGTTTTATAAGGAATATTTTGTTCCTCTCTCCAACCAATTTAAAATTTCACAAACATGTTACATTCCCATATAACATCCATGCCCCCCATTTTCTAAAAACTCACTTCTTGAACTAGAGCCAAAGGCCTGAGCATACATAGTTTGGCTGTAGCGACACAAGAACGAATAAACTTAACTCACTTGTTGGTAGGAATCGCAAGTCGGCTGCCATTAAAATACGACTGTAACAAGGGGTGAAAAAACTTGAACTTTATGAGTTTATTAAAAATAAATTAAAATAAGTGGAAGAAGAAGAATATTGTAATATTATATAGTTTGGAAGTGAGGGATTGGATTAATAAATAAAGAGGGGGAAAAAACAGAGCAAAAACTCACCAACTACAATGTACTGTCACACTGAGTCTCCAGTGGTTTTTTCCCCCTTTTTGTAAACCCCAACTTCCAGCTCATTTCCACTCAAAATTCCAACCTCATTTATTCCCAATTAGGTTTTCCCTTCGCTTCCCATTCAAGATCTATCCATGGAGTTCTTCCCCCAAATCAAATCTTCTCAATACCTTCCTCCATTTCCGCCGCCAAATCCTTCCCATTCTGACTCCACCAGCTTCCCCATTATCGCCATTGCCATCATCGGAATTCTCGCCACCGCCTTCTTGCTCCTCAGCTACTACGTTTTCGTCATCAATTGCTGCCTCAACTGGCACCGCATCGATCTTCTCCGTCGTCTCTCCCTCTCCTCGAGGCGGCGGCGTCCAGCCCCCAACACTCATTCTCCGCCCATTGACACCAGGGGTCTCGACGAATCGGTCATTAGATCAATCCCTTTAGTTCAATACAAGAATTCAATAGCCAGAGGAAAAACCTCGTCGGAATGCTCTGTTTGTTTGAGTGAATTTGGAGAGGATGAAACGGTGAGAATTATTCCCATTTGTTCACATCTTTTTCACATTGACTGCATCGATATTTGGCTGCAAAATAATCCCAATTGCCCGTTATGTCGAACCACCATTTCGAGCTCTGCTCTGTTTCATCGATTTCCTCTGCCAACCTCCTCGCCGGCGGAACCAATCGGCGGTGGAAATGAAAGAGACTTCGTAGTAATTGAATTGGGTGGGATTAGAAACGACCCATCTGGCCAATTGTCACAAGAACGGCCAAATTCAGGGGAATGTCCGGCGACAACCGGAAAATTGGAACAGGGGAAGAAGCGGTGGAAGCTGCAGAAAGTGACGAGTTTAGGAGATGAGTGGATTGACACTAGAGAGAAAGACGAGAGGTTTTGTGTTCAGCCCATTAGACGGTCGGTTTCGATGGACTCGTCGGCGGAACGACAGATGTATTTGGCAGTGCAGGCGGCGCTGCGTGGGAGTACGGCGAGCCCCGGCGGCGATGGGTGTAATGGAAGAGGGAGGAGGTCTCTGTTTTCGTTTGGGAATGGGATGAGTTGCAGAAATGGCGTTGAAGTTCAGGCGGTGCGGTTGGAAGAGAGTTAGAGAGAATTCAAAAGATATTATAGAAAGTGTTAGGATTACGAGAGAGATTCAATCAAAAGATTGAAAGCTTTTTATGTATTTATTGATTAATTTTTTTCTTTAAACAATCATCATTATCAAAATTATTGCTCAAAAGCCTCAAGATCTAATTATTATTATTTTTTGGATTTTATTTTATTTTCAAATTACTAATTAAATATAAAATATTCTAATAATATGTTCTTTTTGTTATATAGATTTATATAAAAAAAATTAAAATTAAAATTTATTGTTTAAAGTTAAGGTTTTAAATCTGGGTTAAATTAGCTTTAATTAAGATTCCTTCTACTAAACAGGTTAATGTGCGATACACGTGTTCATTTCTTATTGGGTGTTTCAATCCGCCCTCATCTTTTTGTTTTTTTATTTTTATTTTTTAATTGTCTGTTCCGAAATTTTCAAGGACTTTTCAATCCCTTCCTTTTTCATTTCCCAAAATCTTCGTCGCTGAATGAGATTCCAATTTGGAGGGGAGTTGCAGTCGACGAAGATTTGATTCAAATCAGATGGATCCATTGGAGGACCCGAGCTGTTCGGATTTTCTTGATTACTCCTTGTTCGCCGACGCCGACAACACTGTTAGCCCTTCGCTCGGTCCTCTATGGCTGCCTAATGATTTCAGGTAGTAATAATAATACATCAGTTACTGCATTGTTTTTCGTTTCCTCTCTTTTTGAATCAACTGTGGATTTTGTTGTCTCTGTTTCGTTTGTGGTTGATTGAATGGAGCATGTTAACGAATTTGGGGATTTTGTTCCGTTTGCAGGGATGGTGGTGCGGATACGGGTGTTTCAGACGGGCGTGTTGAATCTGAAGAAACCGATTGTTTGCGGAAGAGGTAGGTATTTTGCTTGGAGCGTTATTGGCTTTTTTTAATCTTTAAAAATGTGGATGTTCACGAACTGATATCGGTGATGTGCGTTTCTTCAGTAAAGAAAATTCATGACACTGGCGCTTAGTTCTGGTTTCGGTGAAATATTGCAAGTGTTTTGTCAATATCTTGTTCATGAATCGGACCATATTATTGTTTACAGAGTTGGAATATCAATTGTATCTAAATTGTGCTTTCCGGTTGTGGATATAGCCATTTTCAGTAGGAATTAGCATCTTGGGAAATAAGCATAATCTATGGTTCTCTTGATTTTGGTATCATTTTTCTTTTGTTAGTCAATAAGCGATTTGTTGTTATAGGATTAACTTTCTGGTGATGTTTTTGAACTTTTTCTATCAATTTTTAGTTACATCTACCTGTAATTTTCCTGCTTGGAATTTCTTAGGGTGCGAGATGAGCCGTGCACTGGACCAACTTCTAAAGCTTGTCGCGAGAGGTTGCGGAGAGGGAGATTAAATGATAGGCAAGCATTTTTCTGTTATCCAACTCTTTTGCAATTTTACCTGCTTCTTCTTTTCATTCTTTTGTTTGATTATGATGATGATATTGGGAGGACAAGTCTAATGGTGTTTATGATCTATGTATGATATGTTTTTTCTATCCAAGAGAGTTCAAGGTTATTATTATCTGTTTGGACTTTGCACTTCCTGTGGATTTTAGGGAATAACTTAATGCTTCTTTCAGTTGTTCTCAGGACATGCCGTAACGTTTTTGTTGGTGATTTGTGAAGGTTTCTAGATTTGAGCCATGCTTTAGAACCTGATAGACCTGCCAAAACTAACAAGCCTGCCATACTTGATGATGCCATTAGAGTGTTGAATCAACTCAAGACTGAAGCTGAAGAGCTCAAACAAACTAACGAAAAGCTACGGGAAGAAGTGGAGTGTTTAAAGGTTAGCTATCATATATGAAGTTCGATTAGGTTCATATTATCGATGAAACGTGCATGGCACTATACCCTGCTATTGTATCTATATTTATCTTTATATAACTTTTTTCCCATTAAAAATTTGATTTCTTTCTATTAAGGCATGTTCTTTCAACCATTTTTTTAAAAATTATTGTGGTTAACTGAATTTTATATTCGACGTCTTGCATCTTTAATATTTGTATGACTTAAACGGAGCCGCCTCTTGCGTGAACTTCTCTGCAAGTAATTATGCTATTTTGCTGTAACATACTTCATGTATTTGGGATAGTTTATCGGTAACTCGATCAAAATGCTTCTGGCTTGTATTGTATCTAATTAAAAAGGTTGTGATGTTTAGTGACATGTCAATTAGTATATTTTGGAAATTTTGTGATCTCTCAGCATCAGTTCAAAGTGTTTTTGCTTGATTTTAACAGGCAGAGAAGAATGATCTTCGGAAGGAGAAAACAATTTTGAAGGAAGACAAAGAAAGAATCGAGCAACAGTTGAAATCTATAGCCATTCCACCTCCAGGGCTTATCCCAGGTCATCCTGCTGCATATCATGCTGCTCCAGGTAAGATGGCTGTTTTTCCTGGTTATGGTTTGATACCAATGTGGCCATATCTTCCTCCATCAGTATGTGATACATCTCAAGATCATGAGCTCAGGCCTCCTGCTGCTTAGTTAGTTTTGCCATCTTTAAACGAATAAAATATCACTTTCTTTCATTCATCCATTTTTGTTCACCAACATGCTGCAAATATTTCTCTCAACACATTTCCTTAGTTGTCTTTAAAACTCCTTAGTTGCTAAATTGAAGCAGAATTTGCAAGAACTACTGTTTGATCCTCTTTTTATTTATTTTCAACTCAATGTCCATTATCTTTGTGATATTCAGTTTAGATCAATATTAATTAAAATTTGTTGACCAATTTTAGTTTATCCACTTACTTCATTGTTCAGAGTAAAATTGGATCCAGAGGAAAGTTGGAAAAAGTAAGCAAAAGCCTAATCCCTGTTGGAGTAGCTTCTAAATTGAGATAGATCATATGATATAGTATCACAGAAAACAAGTAGGGTAGTTTCGTGATTATAGCTTCGTTTTGTTCTTTTAGTAAATGGATTTAACTTTGTGGGTTGAACTTTTGAATGCATTGGTATTGAATAATAGACTTTCTTGTTCATTTGGTGGAGCCTCTGCCCCCTCGAAGAAACTGATGATCGATGTTGAGATAAAAACAATCTGATCATGATCAGAAGGAAGATGTGAGATCCCACATCGATTGGAGGGTAGAACAAAATATTCCTTATAAAAGTGTAGAAACTTCTCTCTAACAGACACGTTTTAAAACCGTGAGGCTGACGGTGATATGTAGCAGACAAAAGCGGGTAATATCTATTAGCGGTGGGCTTGGATTGTTACAGAAGATGCCAAATTTTAATATGTTGAGCAATGACCTAATCTCAAATGAAGTGTGCATCAAGTATCGTGCGAGCTAGGAACACCGACTTGTATGCTAAGACAATCGTACATAGGTTAAAGAATTAAAAGGTTGGATCAACGTAGGAGTAGGAGTCAGTGAGGAAAAGGATCAGTTATTGCAACCTCAAATTCCACGCTTATCATTTGAAAATTCTTCTGTTTCCATGAGTGGTTCTTAATCTTCGGCTATATTTGATCTCTCACATGATTGGACTTCGATTTTGAATACCATTTCACATCATGACCCCACAAATTTATCTTCGTTGGGCAATTCAGCATTAAAAATCCATCCTTTTCGATAAAACTCCACAGAATTTGAACTCTGAACTTTCACCGGAGAAGCAAAATGGTGGCCGTCGACAAAGTGAACCTCACGCCTGTCTCCAAACTTGACGATGCCTTTGACAGAGCATCCGAACTGAAAGCTTTCGATGATACTAAGGCCGGCGTCAAAGGCCTAGTCGACGCCGGGGTTGTCGAGATCCCAAGAATATTCTACCGCCCACCCAAAATTGACGATTCCAGTTCCGTCGAAACCCATCTCGGCGTTCCGGTGGTGGATCTCGAAGACGTCGACAAAGATCCCCTCAAACGCAGAGAGATTGTGGATAAAATCAGGGAAGCTTCAGAGACGTGGGGCTTTTTTCAAGCTGTAAACCATGGAGTTCCGGCGACGCTTCAAGAGGAGGTCATAAATGGGGTGCGTCGATTTTACGAGCTAGACAGTGAAGTGAAGAAGCAATATTACACACGAGACACCACGGCGCCGTTTGTTTACAATTGTAATTTCGATCTGTTCAGCGCACCGGCGGCCAATTGGAGGGACACTTTCTTTACTTTGATGGCCCCTGTTTCTCCCCGCCCGCAGGACCTACCTGAAGTTTGCAGGTAAGGGTTAAAGAATCACGAATCTCTACAATAGTATGATATTGTCTATTTTGAATATAAGCTCGAGTTGTTTTGCTCCCAAAATACCTCATAAAAAGTATACTGTAGAGCCTCCCCTAAGACTTATGGAGCCTTCGAATAGCCTCCCTCGACTCCTTCTTTATAGTCTTTGAACAAAGTACATTATTTGTTCGACATTGAGGATTCTATTGACATGGTTAAGTTAAATGCATAACTCTGATACTATGTTAGTAATCACGAATCTCTACAATGATGTGATATTGTTCACTTCGAGCATAATCTCTTCTCGTACTAGGGACATTTTGGTTAATTATTCAAAAGAAATAGCAAAGCTTGGAGAATTGATATTTGAGCTGCTTTCGGAGGCTCTTGGTCTGAAATCAACCCATCTCCTTGACTTGGACTGCAACGAGGGACTAGCTCTTATTTGCCACTATTATCCGCCATGTCCTCAGCCCGAACTCACCATTGGTGCCACCGAGCACTCCGACAATACCTTCATCACCGTCCTGCTGCAAGACCATATCGGAGGTCTTCAAGTGCTTCAACACAACAAATGGGTGGATATTCCTCCCGTTCCGGGGGCCCTCGTCGTCAATGTTGGCAGCTTATTACAGGCAAGTTTTTGACTTTCTATGGTAGATAACGGTTAGGAATCACAAATCTTCACAATGATATGATATTGTCCACTTTGAGCATAAGCTCTCTTGACTTTGTTTTGGATTTCCTCAAAAGATCTCGTATCAATAGAAATGTATTCTTTATTTTTAAACCCATTATCATCCTTTAAATTAGTCAACGTGGACTCTCTCCCAACAATCCTCAACAACAACATCCCCTAGATACATAAAGTTTAAGGAAAATTACGGGTTTGGGTTCCTTTTTGCAGCTGGTAACGAATGATCGATTCGTGAGCTCGGAGCACAGAGTGTTGGCGAACAGCGAGGGTCATCCAAGAGTATCAGTGGCAAGTTTCTTCTCCACCGGGCCTCTTCCGACCTCCAAACGTTATAGACCCATCGAAGAATTGTTGTCGGAAGAAAATCGTGCCAAGTACAGAGAAATCACCGTTCAGGAATACAATCTCTACTATGCAGAAAAAGGGTTGGATGGGACCTCTACTCTCCCACATTTCAGGCTTTGATTACATACTCATTCAAATTACCTATAAGCTTGTGTTGTTTATGATGCAATCTTCTTCCCAGTTGGCTATTAGGCCTAAACATTATGACTAATTGGCTAAACAAGTAATTACGAGTAAGAATTTATTCTTATGAAACTGATGAATAAGTGACTTGTGAGTGTTGCTAGGTTAGACAAGCCAATAACTCGAATGAATTCGAGACCCGTATCAATTACTTGAAATTATGGAACTGGTGACTTCAATAACGACTAGTTTGCGGTGTTTGGTCCGTTCTTTCTAGGCCTTTTGTCTATTGAAGATTAATTAATCATTTAGCCAAAGATGTACATCCTTAAGAGTAATTGCTCCGAAACTTCCAAACTCGATTATCCCATTGTAGAGGAGGTTGTCACCGTGGTGAAATTACACCACGACCGGAAGAGGACTCGCCACACTACATCCTGTATATAAATTTTGGCTAGATTAGGCACAAAATTGTCGATGTGACCACCCGACCTTGCATGCAAGACAACGTTGCTGCGTATGTAAAGACGTAGCTTGTCAACCGGACAAGGTCGAGCGGGACAAACTCCTTATATTCTTGGAGTCGTAGCTTGTACCACAAAAACCATGGAAAAGTGTTTTCATGGATTTTATCGTGACATTCAGTCGGTTCTTTGAGCAAGAATAATAACATTACCTTACATTCAGTACTATATGAACTCCAAGTTCTTGTGGCAGAACACGAGGGGATTTATCGAATCACGATAGAGATCCAACATATTAAAACCATAAACTATCTTTATGAACTACTAATTAAACATGTGCTTGGGTGAGCTTGAAGTGGTTCAAAGCAGAAGTTCCAATGCCCTTTGAATGGAACTGGATATTGAAGTCTTTGATTGTGGTATCTCTGTATATTGCAGGATTTTCTTCTGATACCAATTCCTTGATGGGTCCATACACTTTGGTGGTCTGTAAACCAAACGTGGAGAAAAACCCCGCCACTGACACTCTCGGACCCTCCTTGTTCGCCACAACCCTATGCTTAGCGCTTTTGAATTTGTCATTCGTTATTAGCTGCAAAAGATCTCCGATGTTGACGACTAAAGCTCCGGCGACAGGGGGAACGTCCGCCCACTTGTTCCCATGGCGAACCTGTAAGCCGCCGATGTGGTCTTGCAGCAGAATAGTGATGAAGTCATTATCGGTGTGCTCCGATGTGCCGATCGCCAAATTCGGCTGTGGGCATGGTGGGTAATAGTGGCATACAAGTGCAAGCCCCTCGCTGCAGTCTATGTCGTTCAAGTAATTTGGAGGAAGACCCAGAGCCTCCGACAGCAATTCAAACATTAATTTCCCAATTACCATCACTCGTTTTGAGTAATCCTCCAGAATATCTCTGCACAAAACAGAGGAATCTCTGTTAAAAAGGGTCGTTTTAGGGTCCAAAATTAGCTCATTTACCTGCAAATTTCCGGCAGCTTTTGCGGCTGGTGAGAATTTGGGGCGCTTAGATACCGAAACGTATCCCTCCAATTGGTGGTGGCTGAAGAATACAGATCAAAATTACTGACGTAAATGAAAGGCCTCATTATGTTGCGAGAATAGTATGGTGCCTTCAATTCCCTGTCCTGTTCGTGAAATCTCCGAACCCCATTTTTCATCTCTTCAACAACACTCACCGGAATCCCATGGTTAATCAATTGGAAAAACCCAAATTTCTCTGAAGCTTCTCGGATTCTGTCGACGGTGTATCTTCGTTTGAGTGGCGTTTTGCCGATGTGGGCGAGGTCTATCACTGGAATATGGATTTGGGTCTTGTCGGAAACATGGCCGGAGTCGTTGGACTCCGGTGGCTGGTAAAAGATTCGAGGAATTTCAGTAATTCCGGCGTCTACTAAACCTTTAACGCCGGATTTAGTGTCGTCGAAAGCTTTGATCTCGGCGGGTCTGTGGTAGCTTTCGTCGGCTTTGGACACCGGAGTTAGGTTGAGTGTATTGACTTTTGTCGCTGCAACCGCCATTGTCTATATCTTATCTTGGGTTGAACCACTTTGCAAACCACATATAAAGAAAAATCAAAGCTTGAAGGAAAATGTTGGTCTCATTAAAATTGACACAATTTTGACCAATTCAAATTTTTGTTATCTATTTTTTTAATTTTAAATAATTTGTGTTACAATGGGATAGAAATCAGATTCCAAATGATAAAAAATGAAAAGCCAGATTCAG